AATAAATTGATTATATTGTACAGAATCACACTCATTATTCAGATTACGAGGACAGCAGAGTGTAATGAAATGAGAAAATAACAGCACGAAGTATCTTAATTGCATTGTAAGTCCCATTTAATGAATCTTACTGTTAGTTATGTAGAAACTTGCATAAGATTTTGCCATTGTTAGGGGGAAATATGATGAGGGCAAACTGGATTGAAATCTTTATTAATATCATTATCCTTTTAAATAAAAATAATGATTTGAATCACTTGTACAGTTTTTGTTCAAGAGAAGCTTTGCCCAAATATATAATTTTTAAAAATGTTAACATTCAATAAAACCAACATTATCTCAGAGGAATACAAATGCTGAGCAGCAAAGCAGTTGGAAAATATTCTGACTCAATTTGGAACAATGCATCTTAAAGTAATCTTTAAACCTACTGTAAACATTTTTGACATTCTTCTCTTCATTCTAACATATTTCAGCTATAGATAGTTGAAGTTAGAAACATCAAATTCCAACTATTTTAAAAGAGTTTGTAGTCAAATTATATCTTAGCTACATATATCCATTTAAATCACGATATATCTGCTGCAGCCAGGCTGATTCATTTCAGACATGTGAAATTTGTTTAGAAATTTCAATGAACCATACCGTGGTGAAAAAAATATACATTTAGAAACAAATCTGATAACTAAGAATTTATAAAACAGCTAAATGGAATTCATGCTTAAGTATCCACCTAGTTACCCAAGCTTGCTTCTCTTAAGATACTAATTTAATGTAATTAATATGCTTTAGGGTTTGCTGTTATTGGGTTGTTTGTTTGTTTTTTGGAAAATGACAAATCCTTGCCAATATACTGAAGAGGTTCTACTAACAGTCTCATCTATTTTTCTGCCAACGTTGCACTAAAGTGACAGTACAATGCCATTTCATCAGAGGTAACCTGTTTAGTTCCCTGGGACCCACTCCATTTCCCACTAGGAAAGCCTGAAGAGGATTGCAGTGTATCTGAACTGCTGTTGCAGGTCAAAGAGGGACTTCACACCATTATATTCTGTATATAAATATCAACTCATATAATTTCACATACGGTAGTTAGGAAATAATATTCTTGCCAGACAGAAATTTCCATCTGCATGAGGTAGGCATATTTAAAAAATAGTTTACTTTACTATTGTAAACCCTGTTTTCTGGCTGTTATTTTTTGCAATCAAAAAATCTGTTAAATCCAAAAATGCAGTATAGCTTATAGGTATGAAACGTGAGACAGATGTTTTGTGAATGTGAGGAAACAGTGAATTTTATTTGTTACAGACCTGTACATGCCTCTTTTATTCTACAGCAGTAATGATTATCTCTCCACTGAAAAAAAATAAAGTTCACCTTTAACATTAACCAAAGAAAGTCTACAGGCTCTTCTTAAAGTGCTATCTACCAGTCCCTACTCTACTAAAAAATGCAAAGGCATAAACTGTTTTGCCTCATTATCCATTCCTGTTCCGCCATATAGTAGTATTGCTATTGTCTTTATTTATCGCCAGCAGGAGGTAAAAAAAAAACCCTAGATTACTCTCCTGACTTGAGGTGGGTTGAGTTTAGACAGATGATTAGAAAGGCAAGTTTTTAGTCACTTATCAAATTGCCCATTTAAGAAGTGGCACAGCAGCAGCCACTGAAGTGGAGAGTGTGAGGTGAAGGAGGAATGGGGTTCTTTTGTGCAGTCCCTTCTTTGACTGGTCAGTCAGGCTATTTCCAAACATAGATTTTTAAAAAACAGGTCTAACTAACATTCTGGCAACTGAATCCATGGGAAGCCCCAGTCAGACATTATGCAGGTAGATTCCCTCTGGACAGCCAGGCATCTGATACCTCTTGCAAATCAAGCTAAAATGGGCATAGAGGGCAATGTCCACTGACCTGAGGTAGGAGGGCATACACAGAGCAGATTAAAAAAAAGAGCTAGACAGATCCCAACCATTGACTGAATCAGCAAGTGGTCTGGGAAGCGAGCCAGATGATATTCACTGAAAAGTCATGTTGGAAAGGGGACAACCATGCTTTAAAAATGAAACAGCTAGGCCCTGCTCTCAGGAGCATCTGGAAGGGGCAAATAAGGAAAAGGCCATGTCATGAAGATACGGCAGGGACATTTGTGTGCAATGGTTAGACACAGAAGATGAAGAGTCCTATATCTGAGTACCTGAGTTAAATCCATGCCTCAGATACTGTATAGTTATGAAGAAATACTGTACACCTCACAGAGAAAAAGCAGTCTGGCAAGTTTTAACTTGATTGCAAGTAAATGCCACTGAATTTGATGAAGCTTATTCTGTAAGTGATTTGTGAGAAGCAGGTGAAAGGGCTGAAACAGTTATAATTAAATCTTTCATCATTTAATCACAATAGAAATTTCTCTAATTTGATCAAGTGATTTTTTTCTGATGCATATGTTATATACACATTATTAAACTAAGACAGCAATTGTATCAGATTTTTGTACAATTTTAGTCCATTTTTTCTTCATACTTCAAAATTTAGCAAGCTCCTGAAAAAATGCCTCAATTAGCATATATCAGTGATGGCGAACCTTTTAGAGACTGAGTGCCCAAACTGCAACCCAAAACCCACTTATGTATCATCAGGTGCTGGGTGGGTGTGGCCTATTGGGTGGGTGTGGCTCATTGGGTGGGCGTGGCTGCAGTGGTAATGGCAGACTGGGCGGGACTAAAAAGTTCAATCAATCAATTCCAACTTTGTAACATATTTTTTCTCCGCAAGAAGTTGAAATTGATTGAGTGAACCTTTTTTTTTTTGCACTCGGCGACGGAGGCCTAAAGTGAAAAGCTTTTATAAAACCCAGCTGAAGGCCTAGGATTGGGGCGACGGTGCACGTGCCCACAGAGGGCTCCGTGTGCCACCTGTGGCATATATGCTATTGCAGGGGTTCCCAACTGGGGGTACTTGCACCCCCTGGGGGTGTGAGATATTCCAGGTGCAAAAACTTGGGTTTTCAAAATTATAGTGTATATGCATAATTCGTTGCCGTTATTTCAAACTTTTGTAAGGGGTTCAAGACTATATCAGAAGCGTTCTAGGGATGCGGGGTATAGAAAAGGTTGGGAGCCACTGTGCTATTGTAAGTTATAAATTATGTAGTTTTATAAACCCATTTTAGTTAGTATTTAAGTAGTAATAGTTATTTAAATAAATTCAACTATTTGAACACCAATTCCAATTGAAAGTCATAATCCAGCTAAAACAACGTATGTTCCTATCTTTGTCTCTATATTGACATTTTTCACAGGAAAGAATTTATACTTTTTAGTGAAATAAACATGAACCTGTAAAGGCTATTCAAAAAATATTTTGCTTTCAAAATTAAAATACATACTAAAATGTGCAAATCTTGTAGTTATAGAACTACGGTATGTGCTTTTAAATAATAATGAAACCTTCAACAAATTAGGGGGACTGTTTTTTGCGTGTTTTTTATAGCAGGGCTTTTCAACCTGTGGTACATTGGCACCTGGCAGGTGGTACGCAACCATCCTAGAAAAGTGGTAGTGGGGGAGGGGAATGAGCTGAACCGGTGGCAGCACCGCACAAGCCTGAGCAAGAGATGGCTGGAGCTGCAGGGCTGTCAGGGCTCAGCGGAAGCGCCAGGATCAGCGCCAGGCTCCAGCTGGAAAGCAGCACTAATCCTGCGCTTCTGCTGAGCCCAGAAGAACCGCCAATCAGTTGGAATGTTGCAGCATCTCCAGGGCCTTGTGATTTACATTCAGATGCTTGGCAACTGATTCATATTTATGACTGTCACAGTGTCCCAGAGTCATGTGAACTGACCAAAACCTGCTGCAACCACCCAGCAGACGGGGGGGGGGGGGGAATAAAAACCAAACACCCCCCACCCCCGCTGCCAATCCTCAACAGAAATGCTCATAACAATGAAAACCTCGGACAGGAGGATGAGTGCCGACGGACGGGCAGGCAGGTATCTTGCTCGGCTGTGGATTGGGGGGGCACTTTTTTCAGTGCCATTGTAACTTCGAAGTCACTAAGCGAAGTGTTGTAAGTCAAGGACTACCTGTACTTTATCACTTCCCCCCCCCCTTTTTTTTTGTTCATCAAGTTTTTGACACCTTACTAGGTGACTGGTGGTACTCGGATGTTGCCCTATCCTAAAAGTGGTACAATGGGTGAAAAGGTTGAAAAGCCCTGTATTTATAGCATATATTACTATTTACCAAAGTGGGAGAAAAAGGTCGAGGAAGAGGGGATTGGGCGATTCTATTGATGGGTGAATGGAAAGTGAAGGGAGGCGGGGAAGATGCGTCCGGGAGGGACGTGAGCAGTGCTGAAGCTACGTTAGGGTCGTGTGGATGAGATGTGGAAGGCGGGCATGAAACGAAACATCCCGAGTCGAGTTAGGAGGCGGCACCGCTCTTGACTCGCCGCCTTCAGCACGATCCCAGCGGCTCCTGTGTTCGTCCTGGCTTCTCGGGAGCAAAACGCGACGGAATGCTCCGCGCTGGGTGCGGAAAGTCGGAGGGCGACGGGGCCCACGAGAAAGGCGAGGGGAGCGCAGCCGGGTTTCAAAGGAAGGGGATGGGCAGGGCCGGCGAAAAGCCCGACGACCTAATTCTACCCCCTCTCTCCGCGGGGCCGATTAAAGAGACAGCCCCCAAACGCCCTCGGGACGACCAAGCGCCGTTTCTCTCGGGAGGGCGGGAGAAAGGGCGGGAGAGGCCGAGGCCGCACCAAGGGCCATCGGGCTCGCGAGCGAAAGACGAGCATTTGCCACGATGGAAAAGAAGGGGGCGGCATTCCTCCCCTCCCCTCCCCGGAACGTCGTTCTCGAGGAGGGGCGTCCTGTGCGTGCGTGCGCGCGCGCGCGCGCGGACGGGGGGGGGGAAAGCGAGTCAGAGCCAGCGGATGGAACGCTGGGAGCGTGACGTGTCCGTCTGGCCGCCGCCCTCCTTGCTCAAGCTATATAAAGGACGCAGCTCACCCCGTCGGTCTTTTTCGCTACGGGTTTGCCGCTGCTTCGGAGGTGAGTAGCGCTCGACGCGCGTGCGCGCGGCCTAGCCGCGTCTAGGCCTTGGGGGCTGAGGAAGGCTGAGGGCCGGTTGAGACGCACGTGCTCCCGGCTCCAGACAAAGCCGTTCTCGAAGCCCGCGAGGGGTTCGGGAGACGGAAGGCGCAGCCACGCTTCGGCTGCGAAGGGGGGGGGGAGGGAGGAAACGGGACACGGGATTTGCGCGTGTCCCTGGGTCGCCGCCCCCTCCCCCCCCTCCCCCGAATAGGCGCGACAGGTCAGGAGAGCCGCGAGGGTTTCGGTACCAATCTGGAAGGGCCCATTCATGCCTTTGGGGGTCGAGCGTCGGGGTTATGAGGGAAAGATTGAGAGCATCTGTGGGTCCTCGGCGCGAAACGTGGTTCCGGCGGAACGGGCGACGGCACTCGTGGCACCTCGCCGGGTCCTCCGCTGTTAGAGCCCCCCCCGCTCCTCCTCCAGCTTCGGCCGGCGGCCTCGAGGCGGGAGAGGTAATTCGACTGGCATCCCGCTGCCCGCTTTCCGCTTCACACAAAAAAATGGCCGCTCTCCGTGGCGGCGGCTGCCGCTACCGTCACAAAATGGAGGACGCGGGGCGGGGCGGCGCCAACAAGTGTCTCCCCCCTCCCCCCTCCTCCGCGGCTCGTGCTCGCTTGGCGCCCGACACAAAGGAGCCGCTCGGCCTTTGCCTTCCTCCTCAGGCCTGGGATGCCCCTGGCGGCGGCCTAGAAGCGCTGGAGCCTTCCCGAGTCGAAGCCCGGTTGTCACCGTGACCCTCGCCGCCCTGAAGAGGGTGGAGCCGAAGAGCTCGAGGCAGGCTTGGGCCTAGTCTCGGCCTTGGAGCCCCGGAAAAGAGGGACTAAGGTCCCTGGCCGCCCTTCCTTGCGCTGGATTACTTCGTACCAGAGAATTAAAGTGATTTTTTCCCTCTTCCGTTGGAAAAATCTTGTAATTTTATTTTGTTTTTGGTCTTGTGCACTTTAATCCCGTAAAGGACCTTTATTGGAGCCGACGGAAAAGCCTTATCTAACCACCCAACATGGGAAAGGAAAAGACCCACATCAACATTGTTGTCATCGGACACGTCGATTCTGGCAAGTCCACCACCACTGGTCATCTGATTTACAAATGTGGTGGAATTGACAAGAGGACCATTGAGAAGTTTGAGAAGGAAGCTGCTGAGGTGAGTTTGTGGCCTGAAGAATTGTTTATTCCGTTTTTATGTAAGGTGCTTGACTTTCTACAAAGTGATTTGCTTTATTTTAATTTTGCTGATGAAACCTTATTTGGCATTTTAGCTTAATGTACTATAGTTACGACAAATTGCATATAGTGGATTTTGTAGACCTAAGAAAGAAATTAAGTAAATGCATAGGGGGAGTATCGGAGAAGTTGTAACTAGAAAGGTAATTGTTATATAGGTATGTCATTCAGTGAATGTAATAATGTTATAAGTTGATTGGAAAAGGTATGCATTTAAGTGGATATCTTTATAAACAAATTGTATTGGCAGATGCAAGGAGTTGGATTAGCCCTGTCAAGGGGTTAAGTAAGTGAGAGATAATTGGAATTCCTCACTAGTTGTGCCAGTTGCTTGACCTTCTAAACATAGTTTGCGGATTATATTTCAGGGCATTAGTGCACACTTCCTTTTAAAAAAGCAACAGCAGTCTTGCAACGTTTTATTTTGTGCTTTGGGTAAAAAAAATTTTTTTTTTCTTAGATGGGTAAAGGCTCCTTCAAGTATGCATGGGTATTGGATAAGCTGAAGGCAGAACGTGAACGTGGTATCACTATTGATATTTCACTCTGGAAATTTGAAACCAGCAAGTATTATGTCACTATCATAGATGCTCCTGGACACAGAGATTTCATCAAAAACATGATTACTGGTACATCTCAGGTGAGAACAAATGTGAAATTTGTCAGATATAATACTAATAAGTAATTAATATTGTACGTTAAGAAACATTGGAGTTAATAATGCCTTTTCCTGACTCTTTCAAAGGCTGACTGTGCTGTCCTAATTGTTGCTGCTGGTGTTGGTGAATTTGAAGCAGGTATTTCCAAGAATGGACAAACCCGTGAGCATGCCCTTCTGGCCTATACTCTGGGTGTAAAACAGCTCATTGTTGGAGTCAACAAGATGGATTCCACTGAGCCACCTTACAGCCAGAAGAGATATGAGGAAATTGTCAAAGAAGTCAGCACTTACATAAAGAAAATCGGCTACAATCCAGATACAGTGGCTTTTGTGCCAATTTCAGGCTGGAATGGAGATAACATGTTGGAACCTAGCTCTAATGTAAGTCATTATTGATTGGAGGGGGGTTGTCTGCAGTCACCATCACAAAGGATTGCAGACAATGAATTGCTGTGCTTTTTTTTCTTCATTGTAGATGCCCTGGTTCAAAGGGTGGAAGGTGACTCGTAAAGATGGTAGTGCTAGTGGAACTACACTGCTGGAAGCTCTGGACTCTATCTTGCCACCAACTCGTCCAACTGACAAACCTCTACGCCTGCCACTTCAGGATGTCTACAAAATTGGTGGTAAGTATTGCAACAGCAATACAATAAATAACTATTTGAAAAAGTTATTAGGGATGTATATTTGCATTTATAAACCTGGCTAGAAAAGTATTTCTTTATTTAAGGGATTGGTACCGTTCCAGTCGGTCGTGTGGAAACTGGCATTCTAAAACCAGGCATGGTGGTAACATTTGCTCCAGTTAATGTTACAACTGAAGTAAAATCTGTTGAGATGCATCATGAGGCCCTAAGTGAAGCTCTGCCTGGTGACAATGTTGGCTTCAATGTAAAGAATGTATCTGTAAAAGATGTCCGTCGTGGTAATGTTGCTGGAGATAGCAAAAATGATCCACCAATGGAAGCTGCTGGATTCACAGCACAGGTAACTTGGCAGACGTTTTATTGTATCAGCAATTGTAAACTCCACGCAGTTAGGACAGCGTAAGCACAGATACTCATTCAAATCTATTCCCATAGGTTATCATCCTGAACCACCCAGGCCAAATCAATGCTGGCTATGCCCCTGTTCTGGATTGTCATACTGCTCATATTGCTTGCAAGTTTGCCGAGCTGAAGGAAAAAATTGATCGTCGTTCTGGTAAGAAGTTGGAAGATGGTCCAAAGTTCCTCAAATCTGGAGATGCTGCCATAGTTGACATGATTCCAGGCAAGCCTATGTGTGTTGAGAGCTTTTCTGACTATCCTCCTCTGGGTAAGTATTTTTAGATTTATCTACCATAGTTGTGTTGATATTGTTACTGTCAGATCAAGGTATAATGAAACTTCTTGGGGTGGTGGATGCTTTTCAGGCAGTCTATGGCTACCTGATCAAAATTCAGACACTTGGCAACTGGCATGCATTTATGTATTTAGTTTCCTGGGGTCATGTGATCTCACTTTTTGTGACCTAACAAGCAAAATCTAGGGAAACCAGACTCAACTGTTACTAATTTAACTGTGGCAAGAAGGGTCATACAATGGAGCAAAACTCAATGGTTGCTTAGCAACAGAAATGTGCTCAATTGTAAGTCGAGGACTATCTGTAATTTATGTCCTTACACCATATTGGTGACAAATCACTAAAAATATACTCCAATTCACTATACATTTGCAAATAATGGATGCTATCCTCCCTCCCTCTTCAGTCTCTTGTAAAGACTTTTCACTATGTCCTGTTCAAGAAACTTCATATTAAATTACTTTCTGCTTAGAAGAGAAAATGTTGCAATGTCTTGCCCACTGAAGGAGTTGGATTGTGTTGATGGTGCTGTTAAGACTAAGCAGTGATTTTAATCAGAAGTATTGGGCTGGACTGCTGTGAAATACCAAGTTAATTACATCATCATTTACAGCTGGTATTGGAGGATCTTAATTGGGGAAAAAAAGGAAATAGTCTAATTACTGGATCTGTATTCCTGTACTTTGAAAGTTCTAATTCCTTTTTTCTCCCCATTAGGTCGTTTTGCTGTGCGTGACATGAGACAGACCGTTGCTGTTGGTGTCATCAAGGCTGTTGATAAAAAAGCAGGTGGTGCTGGCAAGGTCACAAAGTCTGCCCAGAAGGCTCAGAAGGCTAAATGAAAATTCTGTACAACTGCCACCTCAGTCTTAATCGGTGGTGGAAGCATGGTCTCAGAACTGTTTGTCTCAATTGGCCATTTAAGTTTAATAGTAAAAGACTGGTTAATAATTACAATGCATCGTAAAAGCTTCAGAAGGAAAGGAATGTTTGTGGACCATTTTGTTTCGTGGCAGTTTCTAAGTTATTAGTTTTTAAAATCAGTAATCTTTTTTAAATGGAAACAACTTGACCAAAATCTGTCACACATTTTGAGACCATTAAAATCAAAAGTTTAATGCAAAGTCTCTGTGTTCTTTGGGGCTATTAGATACACTTTGATATTTAAAAACATTGTGCTTTGCAGAGTTGTAAGTTACTGAAAATAAAATATACTTTATTGGTTTTGGGGAACATAGGATTGTTTGCAAGCAAAGTCTTAAGTGTGATCTTAATTTTGTGCCAACATCTAAGAATTATATATAGTCGAGTTACATCACAAGTATATTGAAGCTACAAAATAAGTTTGTAGATTCAGTTTTCTATGTTTAATATTCAAAAGTACATGTAGGCAGTAACTTCTGTGTTTCCATGCTATTAGTATAGGTTAATATTTGATCATTTTAAATGGAATTTTAATTAGAGCATTGTGTTATCATGTTGAAGGTTATACAGAAATTCACCTGATAGAATATTTCTCAAGCTAACTGTTGCAAGTTAACGAGTGTTAAATCAACTAAAAGATCAAATGCTTTTTTCCTGCTTTATATAAAAGTTTTGAGAGACTCAAATATTTTCCAAGTTAATTATATTTCATCTTCAGTACAGTAATTCTAAAATGGAACTACATCTTTGAAAAAAAATCATGACCAGTTAAACATTTAAAGTTTTGTTTAAAAGCAATATTGTGCTGAGAATGTATATTCAGGTTCTAGATGTTATGCCAAAGTTGGTGGCTTAAATCCTATAGTGAATGGGAGTCCATTGGTACCATTTCCTTAGAATGGATTTGGTATTTTAATAGTGCCATTAGCAGAAGACATTGTTATGCACCATTTCAGCTTCAAAATTTTAATTTGCATTTGTGGTATCCTGCGGGGATGTGATCAATAAAATCCGGTAGCTTTTCTGGGGCTTCATAAGGGACAATAGAATTTTATATTAAAACATTAGTTAACAAACTGATGGCTATTTTTACCCATACAGCCTTTTAAATACAAGTCGTGTACAATGCAGCAAGCTTGTTTTTCTATCCTTAAAATAACTTGGTTTCTTTTGAATTGTTTTGATGCTCTTGTTACAGCTGAGTATTTTTAAAAAGAATGAAGCATTGCCCTTTGTTAAATGAGAACTAAACTTGAATTTTAAATTCTGGGTTGTACCTTCAGTTTCTCTCAGTATACTGTAAGTGCTAGATGAATGTAACAGCGAAAAGAGGGTAATGACAGCAGTATTACATTCAAGAAATAATTTTTCAAACCATGAAAGCCTTAGATTGAAATAAAGATTGGAGAAAATAGTAATTTCAGAAAGTTGTTTTAACTGTTGCTATCATAGTCTCAAACAAACAGATGAGGTTATTGCTGCTTTGTTCAGTGATTTTCTCCATTTTTTTAATCTAAAAAGACTGACCAAAAAAGTTCCCTTACTGAGAAACATTGAAGGTAAAGAAGCTGCTACAATGTTGATGAAAATATTACCAACAAGTCACGATTAACTCCTATGAGCTGCACCCAAAAATATTTTAGGACAGAAGTCTGCCAGGACTTTGATCTTATACCAAACTAAGACAGCTTTGCACAGACTGAAGGTAATTTATGCTGTCATTGGAGCTGATAATTAGCAATTACTTGCCTATATCAATTAGCTGCCTTTGGTTATTACTAATCTGGTCAACACTTTCTGGCTATTCACATACATTGATAGTTTTGCTTTCCATTGCATATGTGATCGTATACTTCTGTTGGGTTAATGAAAAAACTTAAAATTTTGTAAGCCAACACTTGGTCTTCTAGTTTATCTTCAATAAATTTTAAGTCTAGAACTACTTTACCTTCATGGCTCTTTATTTTCCAGGTAAGATGATTCAAAAGAAAATCATGTTGCTCATGCTAAACATGAGCAATTCCCTGCTGGACTGGATTCCTGGTGGTAGATCAGGTCTTCAGATAACGTCATTGGGTTGGCGGTTCTCTTTCGGGTGATCGGAAGGTCGTCTACCGGAAGTGACTTCCACTAAACGTAACTAACGGGAACCTTCAGGGACAGTGAAATCACGGATCAATTCGTGAACTCGACATAGTCTTCGACGACTCTGTAATTACTGAGGTAAAGGTACCAAACCTTGAACCAATATGGAAAAAGTCATTTAAAGTGTTCATATATTTTCGGTATAAAATAACTTTGCAAACTGCCTAGGTGGTTGTGCTCACTTGAATGTGAAAAGTAAAATTGAGTATGATAAATCCTAAAGGTTAAAAAGAGACGGTTGGTGGGTTATGATTGGAAATAAGAATTTGACATTAAAGGAAACCAACATGCAGAAAAAAAAGGAATTGAGGTTAACCATTCTGTACATTGATTTTTAAAAATTTAGTAGGCATATGGAGAAAATTAAATTCGGCTTTGCATATTTTCCATTGGTTGATGTATAAAAACTCTTCCGGAAGACAAGAACAATAGGTTTTTTTAACTCTTCCTCTGAAGGCGCAGAAAGTCCCACATCTCCTTGAGTAGATTGAGAGCTCTTGGATTGAGCACAATATTCCACAGCATCAAGAGTTGCTGTTTGTTCAGAAGGCTGTCCTACTCAAAAGGATCATTTTCATCCCTCACTGGAGTGATGGAAGTACCTCAATTCTTAGTATCCAAAAGCACAACTTTTTCGTTATTGTTGATTGCTGATTGATGGGGTGGAGCTACTGCCAGAAAAATAATCTGTTTTGTCAGCTCACAGTTCACTTCAAATATTTTCTTCAAGAAAGCCAGCTCTGTGGTCACTATCCTCGCAAGGAATAGAAAAGCATCAGCCTTGCCTTTCTGAAGCATTTGGCCACTTATAGGCACTATGCTGCCATTTCACTGTCGAACGAGTCTGGACTGGTACTCTTCTTCCAGCTCTGCTATTATATCCTAATTTTTTATTATTCTCCCAAGAAAAAGCCAATCACATAACCAGTCCAGGAAAGATGAAGATGCCTCCTAAAATGCTGGATGTGCACTTCTGTGTGTGAGCTGCATGATAGTCTCCCAAGGGAGGAGGAGAGCTCTCAGAGGATCAAACTTGGGAGAAATTTTGCTTACAAGTTTCCCACACGTAATATGGATTGGTCAGACTTTTCCACTGAAGCCCAATTTCTTTTTATAATGGCAGTAAATGCAAATCTAAAAAGGGGACAGGAATGCAACCCATTTATGTGAATGGATACTGACAAAATGTTTTAAGATGTTTTGTGAGGTTGTTAGTACAGGCAGTCCCCAGTTAATGAGTTGTATTCCTAATTTTTGTCTTTCATCTGAATTTGTATTTAAGCCAGAGCTCATATTTACAAACGGACTGCCCAATGAAGTGCTGAAGCCACATGATTCTTTGGGAATCCCTGAAAACAAGCTTTATATTAAAAACACATGGCTTCAGTACTTCCTGAAAGAATTGTGTGGCTTCAGTGCTTCACCGGCTTGAGGAAGAATGCCATCTGCCATTTTTAATATTAAGCAGTTTGTTCATATCTAGGGATTATCCTTAAATTGGGTGTTATTAATCTAAGGGTTGTCCAAATAATATTACTACAAAGACAATGTTGTATATTAAAAGAACATAGCAGTGTATAAATAAACTTGATATCTTCTTTTGGACTTGCTTCCCAGAGCTGTTCTCACTTCCCAATATCCTTTTATGGTTTAATAAATGTTATGTTCAAATGTCTCATGCTAATAATTTGAAAAGAATTCACTTCTAGTTCCATGAAGTGTTTCACTCATGCCTCTTATAGTGGGTATTTTGTCCTTTCCAGAAAGAAATAACGACAGGAAGATGAGACATGAGTTCACTGAGCCAACATCTAGTACTTTCCTTCAGAGTGGTGCATATTCAAGATTTTAGACAGGATAAAACTCATCTTGGAGGGGGGTGTATGTGGGGGTTGCCTTCATTCTAGTCACTGGCACCAAGTGGACAAAGTTAGGAAGTCAAAATAATCAGAATGGCAATCTGCAAATTTAGGTCTACTACATGAAAATCACATCTAGAGTAGTTCTAGTTTTGATAAATAATTGAGTCTGAACGTACATGAAATTCCAAAGCATGACTAATTTCCACTCATGGGGGAAGACTTAATCTTGGAATGGTTGGTCACACTTCCAGTCTCTTTTGGTGAAGCATATGCACTAACTAATCTTTATGGCTTTCAACTGTCCCAGAAGATCTTTGTACTCCAATAGGAGTAGCGGTTCATAAGATTTCTAAAAGAACTTCTCAGGTTGTGCAGCTCCTTTCACTCACACGTGAACTGGTTACAGATCTTCCGGACCGCTCCCCCTCGCCGCAGGGAGACGGAACCACCCAGATGGTACCGTCCCAGGCGCCTGATGGACCCGGAGAGGTTCCTGACGGAGCTTGGGCCATATCCGGAGGCGTTAGGTCACGACTCGGCGGAAGATCAGGCCGCGGCCTGGGATGCGGCCGTGGCCGCGGCACTGGACCGAGTCGTGCCGCTGCGG